GGGCCATGGTGGAGGAGATGCTGCCGGCGTGGGTGGCCGCGGGCACTGCTGAGGGGACCGAGCCTGATGGGGTAGATAGGGGTGCAGTGGGCACGGGGCAGGCTGGCCCCCGGAGCCATGGTGGTGGGCGCAGCCCCGAGGCTGCGGTGATGGGCGCCATTCCTGACTACTCCCGGGGGTCTTTCCAGGATGCCATCCGGACCCTGAACACCCTGCAGACCAATGCCAGCTACCTGGAGCAGGTGAAGCGGGAGCGCGGCGACCCCCGGGCCCAGCTGGAAGCCATGCGGGGCTTTTTGGAGAGGAGCGGGCTGAAGGTGAGCGGGGGGTCCTCATCCCTGCTCCACCCCCCATCCCGGCAGCGGTGCCGCCGCGCTCGGCGCTGGCTGCCGCGGGGGGTCTCACGGGGTGGTTGACCTCCGGCAGGTCGAGGACCTGGATCGACTGAACATCATCCACGTCACGGGGACGAAGGGCAAGGTGAGGTGGGCGGGCGGTGCTGTGGGGGCTTGAGGGTGCGAGGGGGGGCTGCCGGTGTCTCTGGCTCCGTTTGCCCCTGCCCTGGCATGGGGGGGGTTTAACGCTGCTGTCTCCCCAGGGCTCGGCATGTGCCTTCACCGAGTGCATTCTCCGCAGCTATGGGCTGAAGACGGGCTTTTACAGGTGGGCAGGGGGCCTCGGGAGGGTTTGGGGGGGCTGGTGGTGCCGTGTCTGACCGTGGCCCCCGCTCTGCCCCCCCCAGCTCCCCTCACCTGGTGCAGGTGCGCGAGCGGATCCGCATCAACGGGCAGCCCATCAGCAAGGAGCTCTTCAGCAAGTACTTCTGGCTCGTCTACAACCGCCTGGAGGAGACCAAGGTGGGGGCGGCGGGGCTTGTGAGGGGTGCTCCCTCCCTTGGGGACTCCCCCCTGCCCCGGGGCCACGTGCCCCAGCGCCGGTTGGGGATGCCCTGTGTCATCCCCTTATGCCTGCTCTGCCTGGCAGGACCCGGTGCATGCCAGCATGCCGGCGTACTTCCGCTTCCTCACCATCATGGCCTTCCACGTCTTCCTGCAGGAGAAGGTAGGTGGTGGTGGCCTCCAGCTTGTGATGGGGATGGTGGGGACCTCAGGGAGGGGGGGGACATAGGGTCCAGCCCCCACTTGGGACAGAACTTGCATGGGTCAGGCTGACATGGCTGTAACCAGGGGATACTGTGCCAGGTGGATGGTCCCCCCATGAGCGGGGCACGGGTTTAGAGGGGTGGTGGCAGGGACACGGCACCGCCTGCATCCATGGGGACACGTGCTGCTGG